TTTTTTTTTTTTTTTGGAGGTGACAGAAAAGAGTGGTTTATAGGGAGAGGAAGAACAAAAATGGGGACAGAGAGTGTGAGGGGAGTAGAAGAAACATACCATTTCCTTTTCCATCTCACCCCTCATCTCTGCCCTAGCAAGCTTTTTTCCAATGGCAATTCTCTGCATCCTAGTCCTGTCCCCTAGGCTGGGCTCCTAAGCAGCAGAGCCACTGGGCCCACTGCTAGGTCAGTGTCGCACGTGGCCAGCTGAGCCCCTGCCTGGTGATGCGCCACACCTCGGAAGGCTGGCGGGGACCTCCCTTGCCCTCTGCGGCCTCTCCTCCCTCCTCCCCGCACACCGCAGCCTTGCAGGCAGCTGACTCCCTACACGGGATACAACGCACATGCAGGCGGGCACTGCCTGGATGGTCACTACGCTGGTTTACAGCTCAGTTATTTTCCTAGCATTTCAATAAAATGTAATTTGAATTAAACCATTTTTTAGATAGAAAGTTAGGTATTTTCTTGACTATTGTAAAAAAAAAAAAAAAAAAAGACAGGAAAAGGATCAGGATTTGATTCAATTTCAACTTATGCCTCTCCTAATTGTTTCAAGCTTTGTCTTGGATCGAATTTCCGGGATTTTCTTCTCCCAGAAAAACTTCTGAATCCCTCTGATCATATTGTAGTCATCGTAGTTTCATTTACAGTTCTGGTCCTTGATGGCTTCCCGGAGGGTCTAGGCTTTACAGTAATGCTGGAAGATTCACAAAGGTGTGGCCGTCAGCCATGCCCAGGACTTGTAGGGCAGGTGCTCTGGGCCCAGCTCAGCATTCTCTGTGGCCATTTTTGATTGCAGTCCAAGCTTGTTAAATAGGTTGATCCCACCTTCAGGTGGTGTCCCCTATGCTTTTTTCTTCTGTCTGCAGAGACCTCTGTCAGGAGGACAGGTTAGTGATGAAATCAGCACAGAGTCTAAATTTAGTAGACCTTCTCTCCTTGGCTCTCTTGAACTGAAACCAAGTAAGGATATTTCATCAGCATCTGTAAGCTCAAGAGCTTACCTACTCAGCTTTATAAAATCATACACTGTTATTTGCTACAAGAAAGTTAAGTCACCTTGGATTGTGTTGCTATTGTTAGAGATGTAATTGTATTGTAATGGAATGTTATTTGTTTGGCAATGTATTATGTAGAGAGGTGTGTTTTTAGTTTTTGGCTGATAGCTTTTCTCGAATTTTAAAATAAGTTTACTTGGTCTCAGCATACCAACTAATTGCAGAGCAAGGGGGCAAAAAGCAAGTTGGACAGTGGGGGCAGGGAGAGGTCCAGAGTCAGGTTCAATTATTGTAGTTGCCAGTGGCTCAACTGATGTGCTGGTTAAAAGGGAGTTTATTTTTTTAGCAGAATGTAGAATATAGTAACTTTTCCTCCTAAACTGTTACATATATCTTGATACTTTGTTGCTAAAAATAAACAAATTGGTGTTTTTGTTGGGGTTTTTTGTTTGTTTGTTCTGCGTTTTGTAGTGCTAAGTACCATTGGAGAAAATCGTGTATGCATTCAACCTCATTTATCAAACTGTCATTGTAAGTTTTTTACATATATATGGATGATATATCTTTGAAAGCAGTCAGTCACATCTTCATCTTTCTCATTTCTGTATTCAGTTGTGATAATTTAGTTTTATTTAACACACATATTTTGACACCTTTGAGGTAGGCATTGGGGACTCAAATAAGACTGGCCATTATCCTCTAAGAGCTTAACACAGCAGTATACTGCCCTACAAAAGATTAGAGACCACCCTGTGGTAAGTGCTATTTTGCAAGAACTTTGAGCCTACAAAGGAGGAAAGGGGGTGGGGACATAGGGAACCTGTGGAAAAGACCTTCATTCAGATTTTTGGGAAGTGCCTGGGTCCTGCCTGCATGGCTTAGAATGGCCATAGTTAGAGAAACACCTCAGAAATCCTCCCTCTTGAGTCAGATGGGGTGATAGTACTTAGGATAGCATGTGCTTTATTAGGTACAGCCCTTAAATGCCTGAAGCCTGTTGTCTTCTCTAAGAGAAATGTAAGGAGTTT